GGGGGGATGGGACAGAAACCCGGAGGCGTCACTTCTGCTCTGTTCCTTCTGCTTCCCTTGAGAAATGACTCGGGTCGGGCGACGGGACCACCTCAAACCATGGTGGGGCTGCCCTGGGCTGATCCCTCAACCCTTCCAGGCTCTCCTTCTCCAGAGGGGTTCCCAGGGACCCCCGGGGGCAGGGACCCTGCTGCTGGGGCACAGAGGCCGGGCACAGGAGGGAACAGCGGGGAGGAAGTGGCCCCCACGCACTCGTCACCTCTCGAGTTTCTCCTTTCGCCTCCTTCTCGGAAACGCGTCCAGAAAATGTGAAATGTGTCACTTCTCACGCGGGGCTGGGGCCTCGCAACCACAAACTGTCAATTATTCCGTGGCAGGGCTGAGCAAACCTGCCCCAAAAGTTGCTCCCTGAACACCTCATTTGCAGATTATTCCCATAAAAACCCCCGCTGCTGCAGGCTCTGTCCCTGAGGGTGCCTGAGGTGTCCATCCCATGGGAAGGGATGTCCTGTTCCCGCTGTGTCACGCTCTTCCCTCATGTCACTCTGTTCCCTTTGAGCAAAGTCACGCTGGAAGGAAAAACTTAGCGCAGCAGCTCCTTGGAGACATATTTCCTCTTCCTGAAATGCCTCAATTTGGGAATTTATAGATTGACTAAAAAAAAAAAAAAAGAGGAAAAAACGCAGCTTGGCTTCTCACTGGCATCCGTGGCGGAGCTCTGGGGGTGGGAGCGGTGCGGTGAATCCAGCCCTGCTCCGGGGGGCTGCAGCTGGAAAATCCAGGGGTTGTCCTCCCGGCCTGGCCCGAGGGAACAGCGGAACTCCAGAGTTTTGGGATGTGGAGTCCTGAGTGACTCAGGAAGAGGCATCAGCGTTCCCGGGTGACAGGGATGGGTGTCACCGCATCCCGGCTGATCTCCCGCAGCCGGATTGGTGCGGAGAGCCTTGTCCTGACTCAGAGCCGGGGTGAGGGCACATCCAGGGGCACTCCCGAATTCCCAGCCCTTAAATCAGCTTTTCCTCCAGTGCCCAGCCCATGCTGTCATCCAGGCTGGAATCTGTGCTGGAAAGGAATCCAGGCTGGGGAATGTTTGGATGTTTGCCATCGGGGCCACCGCGGGTGACAATTCCCGGGGCGTCGCTGGCACAGCCGCCTGGCAAATCCCGGTTTTCCATGGGCTGGCAGTGCACCTCTGGCCTGCTGCAGCCGCGGGAGAGCTCGGCACGGCACAGCTCAGCCGAGGGGGCACATAGGAGCAGCAGTTCCAGGGAGGGGGAGCTCCTGGACAGGGCAATTCCTGGGATGGGCAATTCCTGGGGAGGGCAATTCCAGGGATGGGCAATTCCAGGGATGGGCAATTCCTGGGATGGGCAATTCCAGGAGATGGGCAATTCCAGGGATGGGCAATTCCAGGAGAGGGCAATTCCTGGGATGGGCAATTCCAGGAGAGGGCAATTCCAGGAGAGGGCAATTCCAGGAGAGGGCAATTCCTGGGATGGGCAATTTCAGGGACAGGGCAATTCCTGGGATGGGCAATTCCTGGGGATGGGCAATTCCTGGGGATGGGCAATTCCAGGGACAGGGCAATTCCAGGGACAGGGCAATTCCAGGGATAGGAAATTCCTGGGATGGGCATTTCCAGGGGAGGGCAATTTCAGGAGAGGGCAATTCCAGGGGATGGGCAATTCCAGGAATGGGCAATTCCAGGGACAGGGCAATTCCAGGAGAGGGCAATTCCAGGAGAGGGCAATTCCTGGAGAATGCAATTCCAGGGAGCAGGCAGACTCCCTACCCTGCTCTCCCACCTCATATTCCAAGGTAATTCCCACTTGGAAGGAATTTATGGGCAGAGAAAATGAAGGATCTGCCTCGTGCCCTCCCCAGTTCCCAACACCCATCAGGTCCTGCTCCCACCCCTCTGCTTCCATTTCTCCCGAGCTTTATTTCAATTCCTGCTTTTAACCCATTGGAACCATCGCCTCCAGCCCGGGCTGCCCCAGCAGCAGCATTCCCGCAGAATTCCCGGGGTGAGCTGATGACTCAGGAGCGTCTGGGCTGCGGGAGCCGCTGCCAGCCGGGAATGCTGGAGCCAGGAGAGGGAAGGCAGCGCTGACTCAGCCCCAGCAGGGCTGGGTGATGGAGTTTGCCAGGAGAGGCTGCAGCCCACGCTGCCCCTCTGCTCCGGAGGTGGGAACAGCCGGCTCCGGGATGCTCTGGGATGCTCCAGGATGCTCCAGGATGTTCTGGGATGCTCCAGGATGCTCCAGGGTGTTCTGGGATGTTCTGGGATGCTCCAGGATGCTCCAGGGTGTTCTGGGATGCTCTGGGATGCTCCAGGATGCTCCAGGGTGTTCCGGGATGTTCTGGGATGCTCCAGGATGCTCCAGGGTGTTCTGGGATGCTCTGGGATGCTCCAGGGTGTTCTGGGTTGCTCTGGGATGCTCCGGGATGCTCTGGGATGCTCTGGGATGCTCCAGGGTGTTCCGGGATGTTCTGGGATGCTCCAGGATGCTCCAGGACGCTCCAGGATGCTCCAGGACGCTCCAGTGCCTCTCAAGGGGTTCTTGGGCCCACAGGGAGCCATTTGCTCTGTCACCACGGCCCAATGGAAAGTGGGATTGCTCCCTTCTCTCCATGGCACCCGGAGCATCTCCCGGTTCCCTCAGCCCCAGGCATCCTTTCCGAGACGCGCCTCTCTCCTGGGTTTGATGTTCCTGCTCCCCTCCCCTCTGGCACGGAGCACAAAGCCGCCCTTTCTCCCGTTCCGGCCGCCGGAGCGGGGACATTTCCAGGGACAGAGGTGCCATTGATTCCCACTCCAGTGGCAAACGCTGGGCACAGGGGCTCGGCGGGGTCAGCCAGGCTCTGGGAATGAGCCCTGTGTGCCCCGGAGCTGCGGGGTGGGACTGGGGGGCAGGGGTGATGGCAGGGTCAAACCTTCCAAGGACACGAGCTTTCCTTTCCAGTGCCAAAGGCAGTTTGGGGTTTGCCGGGAGAGATGTCCCCTTCTTTGGGGACACAACGGGATGTGGCCCTGGATCCCTGGAAGTGATCCCAGGCTGGACACCCTGGGACAGCGGGAGGTGGGATGGAATGAGCTTTAGGCTCTCTTCCAGTCCCAGCAATTCCATGATTTTATGGCGCTGTGAGATGCCCTTTGCCTCCTCATCCTCATCTCCCAGTGCTGTTCAAACCCCAGCGCCGCGGTTTGAAGTGTGGGATTGCTCCCCCCAGCCCCACCAGGGGGAAAGGGGATCAGGCAGGACCCGGCAGCAGCTCTGCAGGGGCAGAGGGACCCCAGCAGCCACTCCTGGAAGCGTTTGGAGGCTCCGTTGCCAGCGCGGGGAGCCCAGGCTGGCAGAGCTGTTTCCTCTCTCCCGTGAATCCCTGGGGAGCTGCAGGATAAACAACAAACCTCAGCGCTGGCCAAATGATTGTTTGGGGCTGGTTTGTTTTCATCTCTCAGCTCAGGGAACTCAGCAAGAGCCCCCAGAGGAGCCCGGGGCAGCAGGAGAGAGGTGTGGAAGAGGAAGAGGAGCCGAGTTTGGAGATTTGCCTGGATTAGCAGCACTTTGGGGGCTGGAGGTTTCAAACGGGGTCTGGGCAGAGTGGCTCGAGGCCCGCCGGTGATGGGGTCACGGCACTTTAGGGGATCCCCAGGAGTGGGGATTTTGGGAAGGGAGAGGCTGGGAAAGGGATCCCTCCTCTCCTGGGCAGGCTGAGCCTGAGCCTGGCTGCAGAACCAGCCTGGAAGTTTCTGTGCCAGATTCTGCAGCTCCGTTTCTCGGAGCCCTTGGACACAGGGCAGGCTGGGCAGGGCGCGGGGGGCAGGCAGGGATGGGATCAGCGGGGCTGAGGCTGCCGAGGGAAGCTGTCCCCTCACGGTGTCCCCTTCCTAATTGGAACTGGGGGTTCTGGCAGCTTCCCCAAGCCCTGCTGGGAAAACTCTGCTTGTTTTACGGGATGGGGGAGCCTGGGGAGGCAGGAACAACCCCACAAACCCAGCGGGAATTGGGCGACCTCTGAGGTGCCGCTTCCCTGCTGGCTCGGGACAGAGGCAGTGCCAAGTGCCAGCCCTATAAATGGAGTCAGCCACGTGCCACTGATTAATTAATTGCCCGGCAGTGCCGCTGCCAGCTCCAGAGGCGCTCCCGGCCTTTGGCTGAGAGCTGGGAGAGCTGGCCAGGGCAGAGGCTGCTCTCTTTGGGAAAGGGAAAAACGGGAATGCCGAGCTCGGAGTGCCTGGGCAGAGGGCAGCCCTGATCCTTGGAGTGATCCCTGTGGATCGCTCCCCCCGCCACGCGGTGGGGACCGAGGGGGTCTGTGGGGAAGGGGAGCTGGAAAAGCCGGGATGTGGAAAAGGAAGGGCAGAGGGGAGGCTCTGCTGCCAGGGGAGGGCTGCCTGCCACTCCTGGCTGGGACATGGAGCCCAGGGATTGTGGCTTGGGGTGAACCTTTCTTCTGTCAGACCTGGGCTCTGGCCTGGCATCCGAACCCTGTCCATCCTTCCTGGGATCCGAACCCTGTCCATCCTTCCTGGGATCCAAACCCTGTCCATCCTTCCTGGGATCTGAACCCTGTCCGTCCTCCTGGGATCCAAACCCTGCCCATCCTTCCTGGGATCCAAATCCTGCCCATCCTTCCTGGGATCTGAACCCTGCCCATCCTTCCTGGGATCCAAATCCTGCCCATCCTCCTGGGATTCAAATCCTGTCCATCCTTCCTGGGATCCAAATCCTGTTGATTGTTCCTGGAGATCCAAACCCTGTCCATCCTCCCGGGGATCCAAGCCCTGCTTCCTCCCTTCCTTGTGGAGCTCTCCCATTCCCGGGGGCGCAGGGGACAACAGCAGGAGCCCAGGAGTCGCCTGTCCCCTTTCCCAACCCTCCTGGGGGGCCCCAGCCCTGTGTTTTCCTCCGGGGTTTTTCCCAGGGGCACGGGAAGTTTGGGGATCGGGGGGTGCCCCCACAGCAGCTCCCTGAGGCGTGTGCCATTCCCAGGTGCCAAGGAATATGTGTTCCCGCGGACGGAGAGATTCCCGGTGTTCTTCCACCAGGAAAACACCTCCTCCATCTACGTTGGGGGTGAGGGGCGGCTCTACTACTACGACTTTGCGACCCGTGAGAACTACACGGTGAGGAGGCTCTGCTGCTGGGTTTGGTCTCAAAACCCCATAAAAAATATCTGGGATCCAAATCCCAGCCTACATTCCGGGCCCAGCCGGCTCCATCCCGCCAGGAAACAAAATCCCACCGGGAAGGAACGGCTGCAGCAGGGAGAAATCTCCCGCGTTGGGTCCTTCCCTGGGTGCCATCGCTCCGAGGTCCTTGCTGCCCCACAGGGTGATTTCAGCCAGCCATCCTGGCTCGGATTCCATCCCTGGGATCCAGCCCGGCCTTCCCGAGGGGTTTCAGGCATCAGGGGTGTGGGACAAGGACACCTAGAGGGGTTTGGTGGCCTCGTACCAAGCCCACGCGTGCTGGCCTTCAGAGGGCAGGAATGGAGAAGGCATTTCCATGTCTTTTATCCTAGGAAGAGTTCCCGGTGAAAAATGAAGGCCAGTGCGTGACGTCTGGGAATTTGGTAGGTCGCACCTGTGAGGGAACAGTGGGATGGGGAGGACTTGGGGTGGAGGAGGGAATAGTGGGATGGGGAGGATTTGGGTAGAAAGAGGGAAAAGTGGGATGGGGAGGGCTGAAGAATTTGGGTTGAAGCAGCTGTGTGTGCTTGTCATGAGCTCCCTCTGCCTGAGGAGAACTGGGAAAATCCAGGGGGAATCTGGGAAGCTGTGTGGGTCTGGGGTCCTTGTGCCATTCCCAGGCTCCTCTCTCCCCCGGCAGGAGGACAGCCGGAATTACCTGACCCTGGTGGAGCAGTACGGGGACGGGCTCTTGGTGTGCGGGACCGGCGCCTGCGCTCCCACCTGCTGGAATGTGGTACGGATCCTTCCCCCACCCCGGGCGGGGAAAGCCCGGCCTGATCCCACTCAGGATCCTTTCCTGCCCTTCCCCAGACGCAGAGGAAAGAGAGCCCGCCCTGGGATGGGAGAGGGATCGCTCCGTTTACCCCCGACTCCAACACCCTCGTTGTTGTCGATGGTAAGAGGGTTGTTTTCCCGTTTTCCTGTTTCCCAATGGTTTTGTTGTGCTCAAACCTTCCCTGGGAGGATCAGGAGCCCCCCGAGGGCTTTGTCTCCTGCTCTGGGTGGCCTTGGCTCTACTCATTTTGTCCCCATGGGAATGCACATCCCTTTGGGACAGAGGTTGGAGATTCCCACCGGGGCGTGGGATGGGGGCTCCGTGGGGGAGGAACGTTGGGAATCAGGAGCACTTTGGGTCAGGAGGGACCTGGGAAGGAGGGGCCTGCAGTGATCCCACTGCTCCAGGGCTGCTGGGGGGACAGGTGAGGATCCTTCCCAGGAACTGTCCCTGCTACCCCTCGAGGGTTGGGCGGCATTCCCGTTCCATATCCCTGTGATGCCGAGGGTGTCCCGGCTGCTTCCGCTCCTCCTCTCCCCAATCCCTGCCGTCCCACAGGCCAGGACATCTACTCCACCATCAAGAAGAGCCAGCAGAACGGGAAAATCCCTCGATTCCGGCGCGTCAGGGGCGGAGGAGAGCTCTACACCAGCGACACGGTGATGCAGAGTCAGTGCGGGACATTCCCAGCGGGAGGGGGGACATTCCCGGCTGGACTCTGGCTCCCAGGGGGCAGGAGAAGCTCTGGAGCTGCCTGTGGGGGCTGATCCCCGAGCTCCAGGCAGGAGGGAGCCAGCTGTCTGCACCCCGTCACCGCTTCACTTCAGTCCCAAACCGAGCCCCAAGTCACTTCCCCGTCCTTGGGGCGTGGGGAAACGAGGCTGGCGAGTCTCTCCTCCTGCGGGCTGGCAGGAAACCGGGTTGTGCAAAATGCCCGGCAGCTGGCCCTTGGCCTTGGGCAACTTCCAGTGCGGGCAGGGGCTGCGGGCAAACCCCAGCCAGGGTGAAAGCTGGGGCAGGGGCACACTGGGCTGGGCAGGGACAGCGTGGGGACACGGGGAAAGGACCCTGCTGTGCTTCCCTGGGCTTGCGGTGGCTTCCCCAGGCGGGAAATAGGGGATTATCGGGATAAAAAGCGGAATTAAAACGGCACCGGGGTAAAACAGGGAGAGGGGGGAACCGAACCACACCAGGTTGGTCCTGGGACATTCCCTGCCGTGGGAACAGCAGCTGAGGATGCTCGGAGAGGCCCAGGGATGCCCGTCATGGCAGGGGTGCGTTAATAGGAGCAGGGGATTTCCCAATACGGATTGCTCCTCCTGAGGGATCCCTCCTTCCCATGGCAGCTCCCAGAGCCAGGAGACACTCGGGTTTCCGTGGCTGCCGAGGCTTCCCCAGGCTCCAGGGAGTCGTTCCCTGCAGGGAATGAGTGTGTGGAGTCAGGCAGGGGGCACTGGGAAGGTGGCAGGGGCAGCCTGTGCTCTGAGCTGTCCTTTCCCACGGGCACAGCCGTGTCCCGTTCCCTGTGGATGAAATCAGCTCCGAGTTCTGTCCCTTCCCTCCCCAGACCCGCAGTTTGTCAAGGCCACCACACTGAGGCACGAGGAGCCTCACCAGGACAAGATTTATTACTTCTTCCGCGAGGACAACCCGGACAAGAGCCCCGAGGCGCCCCGGAACATCTCACGGGTGGCCCAGCTGTGCAAGGTACCCCGGGGACAGGGCAGGGTGGCAGCCAGGACAGCTCCGGGGGTGACAGGGACCTCACCTGGCCTTACCCAGCCTCGGTTTGGCCCCTCTGAACAGGGCACAGTCACATCCTTGGGCCTCGCTGGGATTGTTCCCAGCGTTCCTCATCAGGAACATCAGGGGGTTTTGGGGTGTCCCCCCCATGCCCTGACCCGGCTGTCGCTGTCCCCCAGGAGGACAAGGGAGGAACCAGCTCCCTCTCAGCCTCCAAGTGGACCACGTTCCTCAAGGCCACCCTGATCTGCGTGGACCCCGTCACCAAGGGCAACTTCAACTGGCTGCAGGACGTCTTCTTCGTCCCCGCAGACGACTGGCGGCGCTCCAAGGTCTACGGGCTCTTCACCAACACCTGGTGAGGAGCCCCGGCCCAATTCTTTCCTTCCAGGACTCTTTTCCCTCTGGAAAACTGCTGGAGTGAGGGCCACAGCCGGGGGGTGGCCGGTGTCCCCCTGACCTGCTCGTTGTCCCCTCAGGGGAAGCTCTGCTGTCTGCGTCTACTCCTTCGGGGACATCGACAATGTCTTCCAGACCTCGCGGCTCAAAGGCTACAACGGCCCCACCCCAGAGGTCAAACCTGGCCAGGTGAGGGAGCGACCCTGCTGGAGGTTCCGGGGGAACCCCGGGAAGGGGGCACGGAGTGAGCTGAGCCCTGGGAATGTGGGGTGATGGTTGAGGCTCAATCCCCTTGCAGGAAGGGTGGGGAGAAAGGATCTCAGAGGCAGCCCTATGATGGCGGGCATCCCTGGGCTTCTCCGAGCATCCTCAGCTGTTGTTCCCACAGCAGGGAACATCCCAGGACCAGCCTGGCAGCCCTCAGGCATGGCTTGGTTTTCCCCTCTCCCCGTTTTACCATGCCTTTACGTTACTGGTTTATTACTGGTGCCGTTTTAATTCCATTTTTTACGGCCTCTGACGGCGCCTTTGTCCCCCGTTTCCCGTCCCCTCTGGCCGCAGTGCGTCCCCTCCGGGCAGCACACACCGAGCGAGACCTTCAAGATTGCCGACAGCCACCCCGAGGTGGAGGAGCGTGTGGAGCCACTGTCCCCCTCCCGGAGCCCCCTGTTCCACAACAAACACCGCTACCAGAGGATCGGCGTGCACGAGGTGGCCGCGGGTGATGGGCAGCGCCACAATGTCCTCTACCTGGCCACAGGTATGGAGGGCATTCCCGGCCTGGAATATCCATCCATCCATCATACATCCATCATCCATCCATCCATCCATCCATCCATCATCCATCCATCATCCATCCATCCATCCATCCATCCATCCATCATCCATCCATCATTCATCCATCCATCCATCCATCCATCATCCATCCATCCATCCATCCATCATCCATCCATCCATCATCCATCCATCCATCCATCATCCATCCATCATCCATCATCCATCCATCCATCCATCCATCCATCATCCATCCATCCATCCATCCATCCATCATCCATCCATCATCCATCCATCCATCCATCCATCCATCATCCATCCATCCATCCATCATCCATCCATCATCCATCCATCATCCATCATCCATCCATCATCCATCATCCATCCATCATCCATCCATCATCCATCATCCATCCATCCATCCATCCATCATCCATCCATCATCCATCCATCCATCCGTCATCCATCCATCATCCATCCATCCATCCATCATCCATCCATCCATCCCAGGGTGGGAGCAGCAATCCTTCCCAAAGGAGCAACTCCATGGTTTTTTCCAAATTACTCATCCCAGTGCCGGTGGAGGGAGGTGTGGGGGGTTTAAACTGGCGAGCTGCGAGGGAAGAGGTGAGATGGGCTCTGGGTGGATCGGGGTCTGCCAGGGCTGGATTCTGCATTTGCTGGTTAGAGAGAAATGGGAAAACATGGAGAAATGGGGTCAGAGAGAAACAGAGACATGGAGAAAAATGGAGAAACAGAGAAATAGAGTTAAACAGAGAAAGAGAAAAACAGAGTTTAACAGAAATAAACAGAGAAATAATCAAACAGAGAAATAGAGAAATAAACAGAGAAATAGAGAAATGGAGAGACGGAGTAAGAGACAGACAGAAATAGAGAAATGGAGGAACAGAGAAACAGAGTTAAACAGAGAAATAAAGAACAATTAAGAAACAGAAATGGAGAAGCAGAGAAAAATGGAGAAACAGAAGTAGAGAAATGGAGAAATAGAGTGTTAGAGAGAAACAGAGATGGAGAGAAACAGAGAAACAGAGAAAATGGAGAAACAAAAAAATTGAGAAACAGTTAAACAGAGAAATAGAGAAAAATGGAGAAATGGAGAAATGGGGTTAGAGAGAAACAGAGAATTGGAGAAACAGAAACAGAAATAGAGAAACGGAGGAGCAGAGAGACAGAGCAATTGAGATTTTCCATAATCCTGAGTTTAAATGCAGCCAATGCCCTGCAGGGTCCCCCCTGGGAGGCCTGATCCAATGGGAAGGGCCTTGGATGGACACAGAATCACCTGGGGGGGTCCCGAGCCCTGCACAAGCTGGACTTCACCTCCCCCTGGCCAAGGGGATCCCTTTGCCCCATTCCCTCGGGATGCTGCTCCCGCCCTCTCCGGGTGTCGGATCCCGGCAGGCTCCTCTCAGGGTGCCTCACCAGGGCTGTCCCCTCTCTCTTCCCAGACAAGGGGTCCATCCACAAGGTGGTGGAGCTGCCAGACGGCGTGCAGAACATCATGGAGATCCAGGTGTTCCCCAACAAGGATCCCATCCAGTCCATGATCCTGGACCACGCCAGGGTGGGTCCCTGCTCTGGGGGTCGGTCAGGCAGGGATGGGCGGCTCAGTGCCAGCCCATGGGGACTGGGAGCGAAATCGTGGAATTATTTGGGTTGGAAAGGAACTTTAATGATCATCCAGCCCCACCCTATGGCAGGGACACCTTCCAGAATCCCAGGTACTCCCAGCCCCAGTGTCCAGCCTGGCCCTGGGCACTGCCAGGGATCCAGGGGCAGCCACAGCTGCTCTGGAAATTCCATCCCAGCCCATCCCCATCCCCACAGGGAACAATTCCTACCCAATTCCCCATCCATCCCTGCCCTCTGGCACTGGGAAGCCATTCCCTGTGTCCTGCCCCTCCAAATTCCCTCTCCAGCTCTCCTGGAGCCCCTTTAGGTGCCCTGTGATCTTCCTGGAGCCTTCCTTTCTCCAGGTGAACATTCCCAGCTCTCCCAGATGGGCTCTGGAGGGTTGGAGCATCTCCTTGGCCTCCTTCCAGCAGCTCCAGGGCCTTCCCGACCTTCCGTGGGACGCGGAGTGACGGTTGCCTGCGCTCTCCTCCCGCAGGCCGTGCTCTACGTGGGCTCCGGCAGCCGCGTCCTGGAGCTGCCCATGGACATGTGCGGGGCCTACCGCAACAACTGCCACAGCTGCGTGCTGGCCAGGGACCCCTACTGCGGCTGGGCCAACGGTTCCTGCCTCTCGCTGGCCCGCAGCCGGTGCGTGGGGGAGCAATCCCAGCTCTGATCCCGCCGGGCAGACGCCCGCGCCCGCGGCGTTCCCCTCCTGGGCTGGGCGTGGGTTGGGGGGTGGCTGCACTGTCCCCGAAAGTTTGGGGTGCTCTGTGTGGGTCCATCCTGTTCTTGAAGGGGTTCGGGTGTCCAATGCCTCTCCCTGAAAGTTTGGGGTGCTCTGTGTGGAGCAAAACCCTTGAAGGGTTTTGGGCACCCGACCCCTCTCCCCAAATTTTGGGGTGCTCTGTATGAATCCATCCCTCCCTTGAAGGGTTTTGGGCACTCAACCCTCTCCTTGCTGCTGGGTCTCCTGTTGGTCATCT